ATATATATATATATATATATATATATGTATATGTACAAATATATGTGTGTAGGCCCACTGCCTCTAATCTTGATATTTCTTCAGCCTTTTGAATTTATGAGCAATTTTTTAGGTTATGTTTAGTATGACAGCGACTGGCTTAGTCGTTCTAGGTGCATTTTATTTACATTATCCTGATCGTGCACCACTGCGCTATTCACACCATGAAGATGTATTCATGATATATGGTAAGTTATCATAAGATAATACAATATCAGCATAGGATTTGACACTGTAATTTTTTGAATGAGTTCCCTGACCAAGTACCTCGCACGTTTGCGTTTCATGAGCGGCCACTTTCGGATTTTGGCGGGGAAATCGCTAACTTGGAAAATAGTAAAGCTAGAAAGCTGAAATTTTGTGGGAATTTTCCTGTCAGGTTCGGACAAAGGTTTCAAATTCAGCTCTTAAGTACGCTTGGTTCTCACTTGTGGGAACGTGAAATGTTAGCAGGAAAATTGTTGTCTTGGAAACCATACAGCTAAGTTATATTCAATGAGCGGCCGTTCAACGAAAATTATTCCTTCATGCTAGATTTACGGTGATTTATGATACTGAGTGCGAAATTTAGATGGAAAGCAACAACCATTCATAGAATTCACGACCCGTTCGCTTGAAGTTTAATGCAAAAACTCATGATCGCACTAGCAAGTCTGGCGCGTTGCAGTTTAGATTTTATGTATATCCTGGTTCGTATCCAATAAGGTTCGCAATTCTTTTAGACGACTGACTCGAAGTCATTTTCCAAAATCTGCTGTGTACCAGAGATAACAACCCCGCGCTCTGCGAGTTACCATGTATTCTCCCAATTTGAGAGTAACCAATTTCAACTTAGCTTTCAGACTTCGCTGTGAACTGACCCACACAACAGTATCATCACTGAGTCTAAACTAATTACTTCAAGTAAAATAAGTTTAAAAATTATATTTCCTTTGAAAAACCGAATAATATTTTAGACAGAAATATAGAAAATGACAAAAAAGTGTATCGAATAATGATTGGCCTGACAGTTGCATCGCTTATTACATCGCTCATTTCGATACCACTCCTTTACATCTTCCTCAGGTATTTATTGGAACGAACGGCATGTATCCATCAATCATCTATAGCTAGAAGGTTTGATTTAAGCAAATTTTTAATTTTTCTTGTGAAAACGGTCGTCGTCCATCTGAAAGAGGGAGTCCTCATTAATCAGACTTGCACCAGCCTGGAAAAGCGAGGGAAAAGAGGAAGCCAAAAACTCAGGAGGAACTGTAAAATGAACCGCCATTTTTATAAAAATTTCCATTTGGATTTTTTATTATTCAATTTGTAATAGATTTTGGCGCCAAAGAATTATTAGTAAAATTTAAATAAAAATGCTTTTAAACTGTCATCACACACTAGATAACCAGATTTGTTTGTTGAAATTTTGCAAAAACGCTTGGAATTTGAAAATTTCCAATCTAAAATATTCATACATATTCATATTTTATGAGAAAAATAGTATCCAGTATGCTAAGATTGTACGGGCACTCAATGTTGGTATCCACTGTTAGTGATTTTACTCGAATGCTCGCACACACCAGGCTCAGCTATGCCAAAACCCTCTGATGCTGAGCTGCATAACTTCCAATTAGCACTCATCGCCTGTTCGATGTATGAACAGTGATTTCTTAGGGGTCGACTAAGTGATTAAGTACTTTTTTCACGGGTATAACTCACTAATATGCGGCATTTGCCGGGGCTATCAGGGGGAATTGATGATAAATGCTCACTTAAATACTTGAGTAGCTGTAGAAGTAATAAATCCGTAAATCATAAGAAATAATAAATTCGAATATGATTCACATTTTATCATTATTTCGAATTATCTGCATTTCTAGGCGCCGAAGTATTTCATCGCATTTGAACGCCACCGATGAGCAACCTGGAGCGCCGTTCACAATCAACAGCTGTGTACCATCATATCCACCATCCTACGATGATGCAGTCCAGCAAATGGACGCAACAAGTTGGCGCTTGAAAGAGCAGCATACGAGCTGTGGTACCACTAGTCCACCGCAGTACACCGATTTTCGAGTGGCATTTTATGCACAACCACCACCATATTCCGAAAAAAGCACATCCAGTGCTGCACTGTAATTGTACAGCCAGTGCATGTATCGAATTAACCGGAGTAAATTATGTGTTTTTGCGGTTTTTATTATTGCAGCTGCAATTCGGCAAGTAAATAGTAGAATAAAAGGATTGAACTTAGGCGTCATGTATAAGAAGACATTTTACGATGCAGTCCCTGTCTCATCCCTAAATGCACTGGCTCCGAGACCAAGAATACCAAGACTGCTCGGGTTGCCAGTTTAGATATCCCATGTAGTACCGTTACTGCTAATGATACCTTCCTTGGGAATCATAACATAATTCTTGATTTTGGCGA